GCTGGGCCGTGCCTGGCTGTGGGGTGCCAGGCTGGGGGGCTGGCAGGCCTGGTGCTGCGGGGAGAGCACCGTGCAGGGGGAGGGCTCAGGGCTGTTGTTGCCAATAGCCCCAGAGGGAAGGCAGCCGACCGCATCTCCTCCTGCCTCCGGCCTGTTGTTGTGTCAGGCCCAGCTGTGCTCAGGGCACCATCCCGTCCCCCACCCCTTGCCTCTCATAGCGGGCGCTGGTTCAGAGAGAGGCACAGATGTTGCTTCTCCCATGGATAATTATTTACACCGGGTTGGGTAATAAACAAAAGGCTTTTTATTAAGTGTACAAAGTAGGATGTATGTGGTGGCAGGTGAGAACAGGCAGAGCAAAGTCTGTTGCTAAGTGAAACTAAACAAAAGTCACCAGCTCATCCTAATCCAGTAAGAAAACTTTTTCATGCCAATTCCACCCCCCTACACCTTTGGATCTCCGTGGCCCCAGGCATGAGTTCCTTGTAGTTGGTTCAAACATTCCTCCCCTAGAAAGTCACCACACAAGATCCAAATTGTGGTCCAGAAGCAGAAGGACCTGACCACATGTCTGTCTACAAGCAACCCCGGTTCGGGCTCACCGGACAAACAAAACTGTTCACAAGTTGTTGACTTGATCATCGAGCCATTAAGTTTCCAGAGCACCAGTGATAACCCTCGTTAACACATTTTGAGCTATAAACATCGTCACAGACCCCCATCACTAATGACATTTGGCTCATGGACATGAACATGCATAAGCTGAAGACACGTTATGCAAAACAGGGCATGTAACGTATCCATTTTACAGTTACGTTCTGCCGAATGCGCATCTCCTGTTTTTGTGCACGTGTCATTCTTCTTTGTGCTGTTAGAAAGATGAAGCATGGGTCTGTGTATATCTCTAAGGGTGTATCGTTATTTCGGAATAGCAGCCGTTATTCCGAAATAACGATGGGTGCATCCACACAGCCATTCCATTACTTTGAAAAAAAATTTGAAATAATGGATGGCTTATTCCAACCGCAGTATAGAGGAATAACGCCTCTTCCGAAATAGCTATTTCAGAATAGCAGTCGTGTGGACGCTCCGATGTTGCTATTTTGAAATAGCTCCTCTCCCAGGGTCATTCAAAGTAAATACTCCCCATTGTTTCCTGGGGCTCTAAATCGAGGTAACACGTTCACATTAGGGGAGTCTGCCTCAGACTCATGTTGAGACTTCTCTGTAGCGTAGACTCGCTATTTCGAAATAAGTTATTTCAGAGAATTCCTTCCAGAATAGTTTATTCTGAAATAAGCGTGCAGTGTAGACGTACCCTAATGTGGAATCTCCTTCTCTGGAGATATTCAAGAGCAGGTTGGATAGACATCTAGCCGGGATGGTCTAGACCGGGGTGGTCAACCCATTCTGGGCAAAGAGCCAAGATAGCAGTGGATCCAGTTGAAGAGCCAGGGCAAAGTTGTCAACAACAACAACAACAAAAAAGCTCCGCCCCTTTAAGAAAACACATTTAAATGGGTTTTGAGTCTTTTTGGCCAATGTCATCTTTAATTCTCATCTTTCACGGCCACGCCAGATGGCTCCCCAGTCCAGGTCAGCACAGGGAGCCAGGAGGAGAGGGCCATTTTTGGCGGTGTGGGGGTGGATTACGAGCCATGGGGGGGGAGGAGCTTCACAAGCCACATCTGGGCTGGGGGGAAGAGTCGCATGACTCGGGTTGGCTACGGCTGGTCTAGATGATGCTAGATCCTGCTATGAGGGCAGGGGACTGGTCTTAAGTTGCAGTGCGGGAGGTCTAGATTGGATATGAAGATACACTATTTCCCAAGGCGGGTGGAGAAGCACTGGGATGGGTTCTCTAGGAAGGGGGTGGAATCTCCATCCCTAGAGGTATTTAAGTCCTGGCTTGACCAAGCCCTGGCTGGGATGATTGAGTTGAGTTTGGTCCTGCTTTGGGTTGGACTGGACGACTCCTGAGGTCTCTTCCAGCCCTGGGATTCTATGATTCTATGATGTGCAAAAGAAGGCCATTAGTCATACTTGTGGTACTTAATGACTCTGTAATTAAGCCAACAATCTGTGAATGGCCATGTTTGTCCTATAACCTCAAGCTGTGGTTGGTCCTAGAAAGAAGTGGGACCATGCCGCCTTGAACTGGACTCCATCTTGAACCTGGTATTTTTCCATAGGAATGGGCATTATCGAACAAAGGATTCCCAGCATGGGGGAAAGTCTACTGAAGCCACGGGAAGCCCTCACCCCTGTATTTTCAGCTGGTCTTTGAAACTGCGCATCCTCCTGCAGCGAGGACACACGGACTTTGGAGAAGCTGTAATGCTGGGCCGGAGGGAGGATGAACTCAGACGTGTAGCTTTTCCCCTGAGACAAGAGCAGCTGTTTGAGGTAAGAATTTGCATGTAACAAGTTTCGTAGTGGATTAGGCATCTCGCCGGCCTGTTTTTGTTCGTTTTAACTGAGTGACCCTCTGCGATCTGACTGTTCTCACTGGTGGCCACTGAAATCCCCCTTTTTTGGACTTCACAAAAACACCTTTGTTTATGATCGAGCCCGGTGTTATTGTTACCCATGTATTTGTGTGGAGAAGGGGGGCACCCACTGTGCATCTCTCTCTTCACTGATGAAATGGGTGGAACATCTTATGAACTTACTACTCAGAAAGTCGGATCAATTTGGGAGGTTGGTCCCTTTTAGGGGTTGGGTTCCTGGGTGCTGAGCCCTCCCAGAGCTGAGTTGGGTCAGTGCCTGGGTTGCTTTGTAGGGGGCAGTCACCCCAACTCTGTGCCTTGTCTGGGGGAGACCAGAAGATCTGGCCTATCAGGACAGGGTGGTGGGGACGGAAGGGGGGCATGAGTGGTATAATCAACATACCAGGGGGGGTTCTGGGATTCACTCCATCACAAACAGACCCACACATCCTATTTCTAACCTCCCATAGAAGAAAGCTACGGCACACACAAAAAAAGGATCTACAATTTCAGCAGATGATACGTTTGAAATTGACACGTTGCATGACCTGGTTTGCATAAACAGTCTTTGAGTGATGCATATTCATAACTCAATTTGCATAAAGCATGAGGAGGTGACACGTGGCTCTAAGCCTGCCCCACACGGTAATCCTGGCTGATGGGATGGAGTTACGGGGTGGAAGGAAGGAGGGTGGCAGATTTCAGTGTGTCCTGGCTGGGGTGGTCCCAACACAGATCTGCTCCTGCCCCCCAGCTGGGTCCTCTCTGGCTGGGCTGGGACTAGAGGGGGCAGAGTGTGGGGCAGAGAAGGTGGGGAGCAAACCTGCAGCTCAGTGCTAGAGGTATCGGTGAAG